CAATAAATTACCAATGTACTATAATAATAAGCAGTGTTAGTTTTAATTCTGCAAAATGTTAACAACACTGTCAACGCGTTGATGTCTTTTACTTGGAGGAACCGAAATAAAATTTTGGTGAATGAAAAATGTGACAAAACTGTTATAAATACATTTTCAACTTGTAAAATTAATGTCATTTTAAAGACATCAGACAGTTCTAGTTATATCTAGGTTTTGTCGTAAACAACAAAATACGGCCTAAGTAAATAATATTCAACGATATAATAATTCATAAATAGTTGTCGAACATGTCTAAATTAACTCCAAGTTAATGCAACAGTTTATAATATTATGTATCAACAATATAATCTATGCGAGTATCCTTCGGTAAGCCAACACCTAAACTAAAGCCAGCCCTACACTTTGGCCCTAGAAATTTTATCTTTATTTTCACAAGGTTAAGGTTGGTTTTGCAATATACAAGTTACATGTTTGTACTAATTTGAACTGCAACAATATAGGTAAACGTGAAATAAACTTTATTTTGACAAGTTTAAGGTTTGTTTTACATTATACTAAATGTATATTTGTATGAATACGCACTGCAACCTTGGTGCACGCGTTGCGGCGTAGCGTCAGCAAATAAACGAACGTTTGTTTGTAGCGTTAGCAAATAAATTAGTGATTACTATGTGAGTTTGTTTGTATTAATGGATTATTTTGTTAGTAATTTGTTTCTTAAGATGCTAATATTTGGTAATAAATTAATATTGTTACGTCAAACTTACCCGTGCACCCCCAAATACATGGGACTCAAATACATCTAGACATCTAGTGAAAAGATAGTGCTGCACTGTGTACGCCTCTGTCTACCCCTTTGGCATTGAAATGTGTCACGATATGTTTTCGTTGATAATATTTATCCACTAGTATTGCTATCAAATAATAATTTAACATTAACATTAAAAAACGTAACATTAAATACGTTTGTATTTACGTTTACGTTTCGACTGCACGGTTGGTGCGGTGGCTGGGCAACCGGCTGCCGTGCAATGTGTCGCAGGTTCGATTCCCACACGGAACAACACTTTGTGTGATCTACAAATTGTTGTTTCGGGTCTGTGTGTCATGTGTATGTGAACTTGTATGTTTGTAAACGCACCCACGACACAGGAGAGAATCCTAGTGCGGGACAACGTTTATAAAAAAAAAAATAACATAGCAGGTTAATGTAAACTAAACGAAAAAGTTACACAAACTGTTATAAATAAGAAAATGAAACATTCAATTATTGTTGAGATGTTGACGAATATTAATGTCGACATCTGACCTACACGCACATAATATATTAACCTAAATTAATCGACGCTTTTTATACTATTTAGAGTTCCGTCGTAAAATAAAAGCTTTTGTTACATTGAGTTTTTTAAGGGGGGAAAATCATCGAATGACTGCTCCCACCTGGGTGAGGCGGGAGGGAGTGTCAGACTCTTACTGACTAAAAACCACCCCGTTCCTTCTCCTGCACGTCGAGTCGGAGCCCCGGTTACCCGTTAGTTTCTCCGCGATAGAATAATAAATATTTACAAATTCTAACAACTACTGTTTACTGTCTCGTTCGTTAAGTGGTCACTGAGCTAGAGGTTTCGATTCCAGACTCGGTATTATTGAGTTCTTCCGAAAATTCTCATTAGTAAGCATGAAGTTGAATTATGAGTTGACGTTAGATACAATATACATATGTATTTCAGAGGCTTACTCTAATTCAGCGACATTAAACAAATAACAGCCGCATCACGTTTTAAAAAGCTGTTTTATATTGAAAATTAAAAAAAGTAATCATCTACGGAACGCCATCACATAAAAGTTCGGGCCTGTCAGCCATATTTAACTAAAACCGTGTACTAATGAAAGCTCACGCAGTTTACATAACAAAAGCTTTCTATCACAACCTTGCAAGCTTTGCTTCGTGAGTCATTAAGCTCAACACTACAGTTTCGCAACACCCTGTAGATACATGCCCTTCCTTACAAACAATTGAATTTCGACCTTGTATCCAAGCCATTACATCTCAATATCCATTGTTCTAATTCTTTCATTCTGTAATAATGGAATTTGATTCTTATTTTGTATTCATTATGGTTATTTTTTCTGTGTATAGTCTTGTTCAGTTGCATTTGTTGTATGTTATAGGTAGTTGCAACTTTATTTGTTTTTCGTTAAGGTTGATTTTTCTTTAGCTGAGTTTTCGAAGTGAATGTGAACATGAGGAAAAATGGTGCAGATTTTCGTATTGCACTACAAATGTAATAATTATTTGTGGTTAGTGTTAATAATAATATTATTATTAATAATTGTTTGTTCGTGGTACCTTGGTTAATGCTTCCTTGGTGAGCTAGAAAGTAAGGGGTTTATAATATAAAGTAATTTGCCTTTTATAATATGTCTTAGTAATGGAAGAGTTGGGTCGGTCGCCTTAATTGTAAAGTTGATCGCTGCTCTTAAGTTTGTTAGGACTAGTGCGCACTGCGGTAGATGCAAGTTTTATAATTTCTGTTTTTTTTTTAATTTAAAGCATATTTATCTGTAGAATTTAGGACAAGTATAAATTCGATTTGTTAAAAGTTTTACTAGTTATGTTTGATTGAAGTGTTCTTAAATCAGATGGACGGTTTCAACTGCAGTTTAACTCATTAAATAAACCATTAACGTTGCTCTACATTTCAAATTAATGTTGGTTAATTTTCACCTCTCTGTCTAAAACCATATAATTCAAATTTCAACGACACAAACAGTAGGTCATACATCCTAAAAATCTAGTCTACCTTCAATACTCATTACCACATACCAACAAATCGGAAGTGTACGAAAGCATTCATGTGTGGGTTTGACATCTTCGTTACTTTTCGGCTATCTTCGACTATCTTCGGCATTTTTCGACCAGCTAACCTCGACTTACTGATCCAGTTATGACATAACCGATTAGTTTTAGTTGACACACTGCCTTAACTCGTGACGTAATCAAATCGAGAGCACAATTGTGTAATAATTGTTTTAAATTATTTATAATTAATGCTAAGAAATGTAAGTACTCATAGATCGAGCATTTTGGAGTAGGGGATTGGGTTAATTGTTGGTAATTAGTTTTTAAACGAGGTGTGAATTAATTTTAATGTTAAGCATACTACATAGTACGCATTTGACAGAGAGTGAATAGCAACATTCTCTAATGGTCCTGTTAAAATGCTATGTCCAACTCTAGGCACTACTTTCAGACACTCCGTAATTTTTTTCATACAAACATCGAAGTTTGTGTTTATATTGTAGACTAGCTACTTCCGCGCGGTTTCACACGCTCTGCTTAGCTCCTATTGGTCTTGGTTATACCTCTCCTCAATAAATGCGCTATCCAACACAAAAATAATTATTCAAATCAGACTTGTAGTTACGGAGATTAGCACGTTCAAACAAACAAAAAAACAAACTCTTCAGCTTTATATAATAGAGGTAGTATAAGATATGCCTTAAACTGATAAAAAAAATAAGCCAATAATAGACAATCACGGGGTTTGAATACAATAATATTAAGGAAGATCTATTTTCATCCCATTACTCACAACCAAAAAATAAAACACACACAGAATTAATTAAACAAACATTTGCATAGCATTTTAATCTCTTATTCCTACTCAATCGTATCTCCATATTGGACTGGCCCAAATATGGCGTCCAACGCCAACTTGCATTTATAAATCTGGCAATATTATTGAGAAAGGACTTCGCTTAGTACTATTGACCTCTGCCAAGGTTTTCGAGTTTTGCACCGGTGACATTCAGACGTACAGCGATACGGATGTGTTGTTACAGTTATTGTTTGCAGGTGTAGTTGTGTGTACTGTGTACCCGTGCTCAAGTAGTGGATGGTGTGAGTATGTTAGCATTTTGCGTTTGTAGGTACTGATGTCAGTTGTGTTGCATGAAAACTTGGCCAAAGATAGATATTCATATGATAATTTCAGGAAAATAATTTCCTAGTCAAGATATGACAAGTGGAAGATCTGTCGGTTTCCTTTTATATTTGACTAGCTGAGCCTGCGACTTCGTTCGCGTGGAATAGTGATTCACAGCTCCTCCCCCGTAATTGATGACATGATAATATGTAGCCTATATGTTGACCAGACCTGTTATTAATATTCATGCATAATTTGAAATAAATCGGATATACATACAAACAGATAAACAGACAAAAATTCTAAAAACCATATTTTTGGTTTCGATATTGACTGTGTTTTATAAAATGTTCGATGTACAGTTTTCACTTTCCTACGATTTCATTATATGTATAGATATATAGCTACTATAGATACCTTCTACTGATATTTTTCACTGAAACTGCGTTCAGTAAGAGACATTCATCAAACATACCGAACATACAACCTTTCAAAAATACTTATTACATTTGTTTACAAGTTGAATGCAACTATGATCATAAAATATTCCTCGAGTAACAATATAATTTTCTGTCTGGACACATGTGACCCTTCCCATATGAATGCATGGCATAAATTATTGGCTTAAAATGTTTCAACGGGTCATTGGGGGAGTTTTTGTTACACAGAAAGTTTATAATTATCCTTGATTGGATTTGTCTGATATCATGTTTAGTTTCAGAGTAAAATAAAACATGTTGTTTTATCCTAAGATGTAATTATATGATCCTTTAGTTAATGGGAGTCAACCTCTCGATGAATGATGGATTTGAGTTGTAGCATTACAATTATGAAGGATGCACAGATTTGTTTCATTTTTTCCATTGCATTTTTCATTTAGTGTTATTTTGATTATTTTGTTTTGTATATTCAAAATGCTAATTAAAGTAATAAGCATAACAAGTTGTAATTCAAGTCTGAAAGGTCCAACAAACTATATTTTTATTTATAAAAATGTATGAAAATTTAACGGACTCGTTTAACCTGATGAAGCAAAAATAATAACCATGCATTTTCTATTTTCTACAGATTCATGAACACATGACCCCAGACGAGCTACGGAGCATCTTCCACGTGGAACATCACACGATGGTACCAGAGTACCACCTCGTCCAGCTCACACATCACCTCTCCAGGCGGCACGTCTCATCAGGACACCAAGCCAACACCATAGCCCAGGGCAAGAGCAAAATACCCCACGAGAAGACTAACACATGGAAAACGGAGACCAGCCCACCTTCTTTGCTGAACGACGAGATGTTTGTTAAAGCAAAAAAGAATATTAAAGATGTAGATATAATTGGAGACTTGAATAATACAGTGAGTGTCGATTTTAAGGTGTCAAATTCAAGTGAAATTAGTGACAGTGATGTGTTAAGTGATCTTGAGAGGATGGTCGAAGGTCAGGAGTTGGATGTGCATAAGATTGACCTTGAGGCCTTCGGACGACAACTCAAGCTGGTGCTGAAGAAACAAGAGGGATTGTTGAAGAAGGAAGGTTTGAGGATGTGGAGGGCTCACCAGAATGAGTCGCAGCCACATGGTGTGGATTACGAAGAGTTGGAATCGGTGAGTAGCTTTGATTTAAGAATTTGTTGGTTTTAGGTTATAGAGATTTACTGATCAGAAATGCGTTCCTTTAATACAAGAATTTTCCATATATAGTAATGTTAATATTACTTAAAAATATTTTTCTAGGAAATTGATAATACTCTGGCAAATTATGAGTTAAGTAAGCAAGAACAAGATGGTTTCCTCTAATGATGTCGTAGATAAGGAAACATCTAAAACTCATTAGTACATAGATGACGACATTGCATTTAAAGATGGAAACAAAATGAATTTTTAACTAAACAGCAACAGATTTCCTTAGACCATTATAGGAAGTTTTGCACATCACTTTTATCATTAAAACGAATGAAGTATAATCGATTCACATTCCCATACGATAACAATCGTTCACCCATATACAGTTATTACTAAGTGAAAAGCGAAAATCGAATCGATATCGTTCGGAAATAATCGAGTAAACAATGCGGAGAAGTGACAACACTAATTATAAGGTTTGCGTCTAATAAGAGGTCGGATTAATTAGGGTTGCCAAGCAGAAGAAGGAAAAAGTAGTTTAGTATTTATTTTTGTTTGTCTTCTCCTCATGATTTCACTAGCAATCTCTATTATTGAGTTGTTAAATAGCCATAAAATAATAATAAAATAAATAAAAAAATAAAAAAAAATAAAAAATGTTTATTTCAATTACAAAAGGCATTACATAAAATTATTGGAGATCACCTTTTAAGCAATGGATTGCTTGTGTTAGGAGACTCCGCACTTCCACATGACATTCTAAGTAATTGAAGTTACAATGTAGATAATGTAAACATGCAAGATTAACAATAAAACAAGAAGAAAATAAATCAAGTTAAACTTACAATTCTAATCGCCGAGACAATGAATGAGTATAATTATTTATAATTATTTGAAATGAATAACAGTTATTATGAAAATACCAGATCGCACAATGTATGTATGTGTAGTATGTAAATCATGTATAGTGAGTATGTGTATGAGTGATTGAGTGAGTAGGTGAGTGAAAGAGTGAGTGCAAATATGAGTGTGAGATTATCAGGAACTGTATGAGTTGAGATATATATATATATATATTTTTTTTTTTCTGTTAATTGACCAGTTCAGCAATTAGCCCTACGACAAAGTCTTGGGATCGAAGTAATCCGAAAAGATTACCTTCACTAATTATATCTATGCACACCATCTCTGTTTTTAATAATCCTGTAATTAAAGAGTGGATATAACCGACTCAACTTCGTCATACGTCTTTGTTTTGAGCCAGTCCATTACAGCTTTTTTACAGTCCCAAAGTTTCATGGGATAGATTCGTAGTTCTTTGTTCAGCAAGTTGTATAAATAAGATGATTGCCTCGGGTATTGTCTTTTAGCAAAGGCAGATCTTACCCTAACAGTTGGGGCGACCAAATGGTCTCTTCTGTTTTTTGGCTTACAATGGTCGTATGGGAGAGTTATGTGTTTTTTCAGTATGAGTCGGAGTAAGTAAAGTTTTCTAACAGATAAAAGATCAGCTTTTAAATAAAGGGCATGCGTAGGGTATCCATAGGGTTTAAAGAACATAACCTTAAGTAAGGCTCTTTGAGTCCTCTCAAGTTCCAAAAATTTCATTTTCGTTGTGCCTCCCCAGCAAGGCAAACAATACATGAGGATAGACTGAGCTAAAGACATATAAACTTGCTTCAGGAGTTGCCTTGAAGTCACATGTCGCAATGTTTTGAACAACCAAATAAGTTTCCTAACTCTATTCATAATAAGTTCGGTGTGCATGTGCCAAGATAAGCGCTGATCAATCATGATGCCAAGATATTTGGTGTGCTGCAACCTGTCTATTGGTAGACAGGAACAGTCTAGTGCTGGGAAGTTGTGGCAAATATGGGCTTTTATTTGGAAATCTTGAGGCGGTTGCGAATTATTATACTTAGTAAAGCAGATGTAGTTACATTTAGAAGCGTTTAGCGTTAGGAGGCTATGGTTTAGCCATGCTGCTATCTTCGCAAGACCTTTCTCTGCCAACCCACGAACCTCATACCAAGTCTTCGCAGTGAAGACGATGGCAGTGTCGTCAGCATAAGAGAAAATATGCCCTCCCTCAATCTTCATGTTACAGAGGCTATTGATGTAGATAAGGAACAAGGTCGGTCCAAGGACACTGCCCTGTGGAACGCCGAAGGTTACCGATGCCTCCGAACTAGAATATGAAGTAATTTTGACCTTATGTTTGCGATTGCTGAGGTAAGATGTAAACAGTTCAAGGGCATGTCCCCTCACTCCTATGTGTTCAAGCCTCTGCAATAGAAGAGGTGTAGACACAGTGTCAAAAGCTTTCCTGAGATCAAGAAAAACCGCTAAACACCTGTCTCCCCGATCCACACCATCCACCAAAACAGATGTTAGTGATAAAACTGCATCCTCAGTAGACCTTCCCTGCCTGAACCCGTATTGAGAGGGTGAAAGTATTTTATATTTGTTTAAGAACTTCATCAGACGTGAGTTGATGATCTTTTCAAAGATTTTCGAAATGCATGGTAGCACTGAAATTGGTCTATAATTAGATGGGTCGGTTCTTTCGCCAGACTTGAATACTGGTGTTATTAGTGCAATTTTTAAAGCATCCGGGAAGATTCCATGCCTGAAGCATATGTTAATAAGGTGAGTCAAAATTGGTACAATTTGTATGTGTGCAGCTTTTATAAAGTTGACATGTATCTTGTCCCAGCCAGGGGCACTGTCTGATTTCAGGCTCATTAAAGTCGCTCGAATTTCGTCGTGGTCTGTATCAAGAAGTACAAAAGATGTCAAAAGACTGTTAGAAGAAAATGAGTCAGTGTTATAACGTGTTGTTGTTGAAGATTGAGAGGTGATGATGCTTTCAGCAAGCAATTTGCCTATATTACAGTAATATTCGTTGATCTTTTCTACAGAGTTTTGTGGATCAGTGAGACTATGTAGTAGTTCCGAGTTATTGTCTTTTTTAGGTTTGCGTTGTGTGATGTCGTTAATTATAGCCCATGTTTTTTTAGGATTTTTAGATGCTTTAGTAAGTTGGTCTCTCTCATACTTACGTTTCTGTTTTCGAATGATAGTACAACAGTAATTTCGATATCTCTTGTATGTGATTTTCAACACTTCATTATATGGATCAAGCCTAAGTCTCTTTTGCATGTGATTTCTATTATAGATGCAGCGCAGTAAACCAACGGTCATCCATGGTTTTAGGGTTCTGTTTTTCAAAGGTATGCTCATAGTAGTTGTACTGAGTTCGACACAATTTTGTAGTATTTCGATTAAGTTATTTGTAATAGTGTTAGGGTTGTCAAGTTTCAATAAATCCGTTAAGTTGTAAACTGTTAGGTGTTCTAACCCAACCTCTAAATTAAAAACTTTCCTTATTTTACGTTGCCTAATTAAGTTTTTATGACAAGTGATTTTTAAGAAAGTCATGAAATGATCCGTTATTGTAGTGTGAATAATTGCAACAGTTGGAGTTTGGCTACCTGGTTTCAGTTTTATTATAAAGTGATCAAGACAGGTCTTTTCACGAGTGGGAAGCAGGTGACCGGGAAGTAGGCCATGCATTGCTAACATATTGAGATAGCTATGTCTGTTTGAACGCTCGCACGACTGCTCATTATCATTATATATTAAGTTAATATTTATATCTCCGGTTATTATTATGGTTTTAGTTGATGTAAGAGCAGTCAAGTAATCGTCCAAAGAGCTAATAAATTGGTCAGCGTTCGAAGTCGATGGGGATCGATAAATCGCTACAACTATAATGTCAGGTACAACATGTACCTCCAAACAAGACGCATGTATTAACTTCACTTCTCTAATTTTTGCCTTGTGTGTACTTTTTATGTAAGCGACTACCCCATCCGCCTTATTCATGTGGTTTGTAGTTTGAAACGAAGTATAATTAGTAATTTGGGGTATTGGTTTATTTGAGTTCAATCTGCATTCCGTTAAGGTTATGAGATCAATTCCCATACCAAGATTAAATAGGTTCAATTGGAGATCATCAAAGTTAGTATAAACAGATCTAATGTTCTGTGACACAATGGAAAAATCAGACGCGCCAACCTTAACCAACTTGGCAAAGTCAGTAATATTACAATCAAACACTTGAGCTATTTCGGAATTGTCGATGTCATCCAGAGCTTGTTGATTGGTATCCATTATGATAAAGATTATAAATAGTGGATAATATGATTAAATTCGTATTTGTATGTCGTGTGAGAGTGAGAATGATTGTGTGTGTCTGTGTGAGTGTGTGTATTTCGTGTGAGTGAAAAGAGATATGCGTGATTCGAATGTTTAGGAGTTTGGTATTAGAATTGAAGGTAGTTTTAAGCATTGAAGAATAAATGTTGTAGTGCGATCGGTAAACAAAACATAACACATTTTTGAAATTAGTGTCTAACTTGGTTATGATTAATTTTATAACTTTAAGAAATCTATGAAGGTATAAAATGTAGCTGATATATTGTAATTTTCTGAAAACTAGTCACTGGAGCTGTAAAAGGTTTTGTACCTGCTGTTCACTGTTTATAACGATAGTAGGTGAATTGTCATCTTTCTTGATATAAACTTTCCCATAAGCTGTCCAGCAGTATTTATATTCTCTGGATTTAGCCAAATCACGTGCCAGGAAGTGCAGTCGCGCTCCTTTCGTAGTCATTTGCTCTGAGATATATATTGGGGTATCTTCATCCTTTTTAAATCCAAGGTGCTTTGTACATAATTTTCCATTTTGTTTTCTATTGAAGTTTTTAGATGACTTCAAAAATTCCGACTTAAGTATAGTTGACTTAAGTTCAACTATAATAGTACTGTTTTTTGTGTTGTTTCGTTTAGGTCTTGCTCGATATATATCACCAATATCTGGTTTTGCAATGGTACAGCCCACCTCCTTAGATAAACAGATTGTCATATTTATTAAGTCTTCTTTCGACTCTTTAGGTATTTTAGGGACATTTTTAATT